AAAGCCACCGACAAGATCAGTCGGAAAGCTTCGTTATATATATATATATATGCTTTTTTTTCACAACAAGTCCAATGAAATCACTTCGTTATGACCAGTGTTTATTATATTTTGTATACAAAGAATATATATCGATTCGTTGTTTTATCGAGACGAAACAAAACCAACCCACATCCTTGGAATAAATTCATTCCTGTTCTTAATGCAACTCATTTACAAGACTCAAGCCCAAACTATCAACATATGATCAATTATTGAAAATTGATCAACAAGATGTTAGTTTATATACGTGTGTGCGTAAGTTGAAACATTTTCAACCGCATTCACTTCTTTGTCATTTGTGATGTCTTTTATTTGCAATTTATTCGTTTTTATGTAATATATTTATATGTGATTGTTTGAAAAGTTGACCAAGCAGCTTCGACAAACTTTTCTTTTTCATCATATACAATTTCTTTCACATTGCTAAACAACTGTATCAACACAGTAGCACTAGCCAAATAATCGTTTCATCACAACATCATCCTCGAGACACTAGACCATTGCTGCGTCAATCGAATCTGTACAAAAATTGTTATATCGGATTCGCATACTTAGAGTTTGTTTCATATATAACAAGAAATGGGTCAATTGATTTGCTTAGTCGATTTATTACATTCACCTATTTCTTTTTCTTTCCTTCATTTTCATGTTCAATATAAAGTTGAGTCAATCTATTTGCTGATTCGATTTATCATATTCAGCTATTTCTTTTTCTTGTCTTCATTTTCATATTAAATATGAAGTTAAGGGATAATGTTTTTTGTATGCATTTTCGATAAGAGAAATAGTTTTTCTTTTTGTTTTGACTTCTATTTTTTATAAAATTGAATATTTAGTTAGCTATGGACATATATTTTGTATGCACTTGTTCTAAATCAAAATATGATAAAATTACAAAGAAAGAAAAAACAAAAAAAAAGAAAAATGTTTATCATTATTATCTTGTAGATATATGCTATTTCATAATATATAGATGTCTTTTATAAATTTTTTTATATTATTTATCATACATATGTATATATGTTTGTTCTCTTGAGAAATGATGAACAAGAAAAGATCTGATCAAATATTAAACATGAACAAATTTATTTGAATGTTAAATTGTATTAAAACAAAACATGATATAAATTCTTAGAATGTGTTTTGGTTTTCTTGAATATAGAAGTATCGTAGTTTGTTGTTTTAGTTGATTTTTACTTACTCTTTAATTGATATTATTCAAGTGAAAATAAATAATAATACGAAATAAAATATCAAATAATTTGAAAGAAAAATAATTTCATTTGTTTGTGCATCCTATATATATATTTGTCTATATGATGATATAAGTTTATCGTTCTATATTTCTTTTTCTCCCAACATAAAAACATAATCAAAACGAAATAGAATGTCAAAATCCAAACGTCATTTACCGAACTCAAGTCTATCGATTTAGCAATTGTTTTGTTGATCATAATAATAACTGTGTCTAAAATGAAAAAAAATACATATTATACATGATTACTAGCGACATTTGAATTATTATTTATTATTGGTTGTCATTAAGAAGAAGAAATTACCATACAACGCATGTAGGAAAAAAAATAGTGTAATATTTTTGTCACAAAATAATTAATAATTCTAATCAATAGAGAAATGTTTTTATTTTAGATAAATTTACAAAATCTTTTTTTTTTAACAAATAAATTTATTATTTTGATAACGTAAAATAATATAAAAATAAAGAGAAAATATTTTAATATTCGATTTTAATTCATTTAGTAAGTCAATCATGATATCTATTTTATTTCAGAATAAAAAAACTTTTCTTTTTTGATTCAATGAAGAAAAATTTAATATTTATAAACTAAATAAGATTTTAAAAATATGACTTTTCTTTTTTGTACATTTTAGATGCCACCTGTAGGTCCTCGTCATTTTTCTCAATCGACTAGTCGATATACTAGTGGACGAGATTATCGATCACATATTCATTTTGATGATCGATCAAGACGTGATAATCGTTATGATGTATGAAAACTTTAAGAAAAAACAAAAAAAAAAACATACATTTTATATGTACATTTAGAAAAAACGAAAACGACGAAGTAATTCACGATCAGATCAACAACGACGGCGAGATGATAGTCGAGGTTCATATTCAAAATCATCTACAGACAAAAAACGACGAAAAATCGAAAGTGATGAAGAATATGATAATTTATTAAAAGAAGAAAATGATCCAGAAAAAAAATTTCGTTTAATTTTAAAAAAACAAAATGTAATCATTAAAAAAACATTAGCAAAATCAGTATGTGATTATACATTACTATTATATAAATTTCATCATATTACTTTTAGTTTGATTTGAGTACATCTAGTCTATCGAAGTTATTAGTTGATAAATGTGATGAAGCAATCAAAAATTCAATTATATCTAAATCTAAGTAAGTTGAAAAATATCTTGAAATATACATATTAAAATGATATTTTGTTTGCATGGAGATTATAATTAGGTTTAACCAACGAAACCCATCGGGATCTGCTTCACCAACTCTAATAAACAGTGTTAAGAGAACATCTTCAGATGTTAAATCATTTTTTTGATCAACCAAATATTCATTTGATAAATGCTAGAGAATAATAAAAAAATTCCAGCGTAGTTTAGTTTATTGAACAAGTTTTAGTATGAGAAGTGTTGTCAAAAAAATATTACAACTAGCCCAATGAATTAATGTCATGAAGAAATTTGTTTATGCAAACTTTGAAGTCAAAACTCGAAAGTCGATTTTTTACATGATCTAAATTTTTCTACTACTTATTAAATAAACATAGTCTTAGTCGAGAAGCGATTAGACATCTAGAAAGTTTTCCTTGTGAGCATAGGACGTAATAACAAAGATACTTATTTTAGTTTTTCATGATCAAATTACATATTCATTTACACAAGAATATATGAGATGTATAGTGCGCAGTTTTTAGTATGGCAGATGAACATATAATTTTTCATTATCGGAAACGATTTTGTTTCGAAGTGATTGCACATCACTCAAAAAATCACTTTTAATATGCTATAAGTTTTCAATAGATGTGCTTTGGAATCTCAAAAAAAACAAGTTTAGTAGAAAACTAAAGCTTTTGAAGCAATATATACTGTCAGTCGGAAGCAATTATGCTAACTGCAGTAATAGAAAGACACCGAATATTCTATTCTGACACGATTTGAACGAATTTGAATTAGCGTTAAGGAACACATCTGAGATAAGACATTGGTGATTATCTACAGGTTCTTAAAAATCGAACAAAAAACTTTCGACGTAAAACTTTATCCATAGAAAATGATTAGAATGTGCTGAAGAATTTTATCAAAAAAGAGTAGTGTTTTCCAGTGTTTTATCTAGGTTTTGTTTCGTGAGCGGACGAGTCGAAATTTCGGGTGGGCAGCGCCCACCCAGTAGATAAATCACTGATCTTTTCTCGTGATATCAAATCCATTAAAAAAAACCATGATATTCCATTAAACGAGTAGCAAATTAAGAAAAAATTCTCTGCTAGACTTCTTTTAATCTCAATAGATTTTTTACATAATGCCTAGAGTCTCTTTTTGAACATGGAGTATCACTTCGAGTAATTTCCTTGTTGATGCTAAATTAATATATTTTAGAAAACAATTTGAACGCAAACAACTTGAAGATTCTGAACCAATTCAAACATCACGTGTTGTTACTGATGAAGTAAAAAGTATATTTTATTTATTAAAATCAAATAAAATTTATTAATTAGGTACATTTATGTGATGAAATATCTCGTTCAGATATTGATGAATGTGATGAAGTATGAAATTGACAAATTATTTTAAACATATTAATATGAAATTTTCATCGCTTTTTTTGTTTTCCTTTTACGTCTATTAAGGCACCAAATAATGATTATAGTCAACATTTTGTAAATACTGGTCAAAGACCACAAAATTATATTCGTGATGCTGGTTTGAATAAATATCTTTTCAATTAAATTTAATATTTTATCAATTTTTTTTTTGTAATAATTCTATAGGTCTACAAAATCGTTTTGAAGAATATCCAAAATTACGAGAATTAATTCGTCTTAAAGATGAATATATTGATAAAACAAATTGTCCACCAATGTATTTACGTTGTGATTTATTAGCAAATAATTTTACATTATCATCACTTGAATGTGAATTTGATGTTATACTTATTGAACCACCATTAGAAGAATATAAAAGAACAAGTGGAATTCATTTTGATCGTTATGTTACATGGGATGAAGTATAAAAAAGAAAACGCGAAATTATTTTATATTAAAATATTATTTTCTTTTTATTAAATAAAAAAAAAACAACAAAGGTCATGAAACTTGATGTCGAATCAATAGCTGCACAACGATCATTTGTTTTTCTATGGTGTGGTTCAGCTGAAGGTTTAGATCAAGGAAGAGCGGTAAGAAAGAAATAGAAAAAAAAACAAAAGAATCGATAATATTTTTTTTTAGTGTTTAAAAAAATGGGGTTTTCGACGATGTGAAGATATTTGTTGGGTAAAAACAAATCGAACTAATTCACGATCAGCTTTAACACTTGAATCTGGTTCACTTTTTCAACGAACAAAAGTAAATCTTCAAAAAAAAAAAAACATGCTATGTAAATTATTAAAAAGTAATTTTAGCAAATATCTCTTTAATGAAGTAAGAAAAATTCCAATATAAACTGTTCGACATGAATCATGTCTATGATGAAATTTTCAGCAAGTTCAAACTTCAAAAAAAAGTTCCTCTTAAAAAAATCTGTTTTCTAAAGATTTTAAAGAAGGATTCATACAGTTTATATATTCTTTGTCTGTTATGTCATTAACGCTAGGATATCGAGAGTAACTTAAGATACACATGCTTTTATTTTATGAATTCTCATCATTGAAAAATGATTTAGGTCATATACGTCTTATTTTTCAATCTGTAAAACACTATATTTAAGATCATTAGAAAATATTAATATTTGTAATTATTTTAGTTTCCTCAGAGATTGCACTAGTCTTTAATAAGATTCGACAATTTTTAATACGATTAAAAACAAACAAAATTATTGATTAACAAATACCGATGAGATTTGATATTTCAAAAGATGAAAATAGGATCGTTGAAAATATGAATGATCGAATTTTGAGCTGAAATTTTGTCGATAAATTCAATAAGAAAAGTTCGAAAAATCAAACTGAAACAAATGTTTTCACTATCCATGATAATTAATTAATTCTATATTTCTGTAGATTATATCATAAACCTAATATATATATATATATTCTTTTAATTTAAAGGAACATTGTCTAATGGGTATTCGTGGTACAGTTCGTCGATCAGTTGATTCTGATTTTATTCATGCAAATGTTGATATTGATTTAATAATAACTGAAGAACCAGAATGGGGTGATCCAAATAAACCTATTGAATTATATCATATAATTGAACATTTTTGTTTGGGTCGTCGTCGTCTTCATTTATTTGCACGTGAATCAACAATAAGACGTGGTTGGTTATCAATTAGTTCAGATATTTGTACATCAAAATTTGATAAACGTATTTATAAATCATATTTTGAAACATCAATTACACAATTAGAAAATTTAACTGAACGTATTGAACAATTACGTCCAAAATCACCACCACCAAAAGGTCTTAAAACAACAACAGGGACAACAGTAACAACAACATCAAATTCAAATCAAAATGCAACATCAAATTCACAAGCTATTCTATCAACAGCACCATCATCATCATCATCAACAAAAGAATTAACACCATCATCAGTTTTACAAGAAGGTCAACAAGCAATACGTTCAACAATAACTAGTAATCGTCAATCATCATCACGTGCTGTTCGTCCACGGTGGGGCTTATATACAGATGATCTGGTATGTGAATGACCATTTCAAGAAAAGGAGGATGGAGGAAGATTTTTGGAAAAAACTACTTGGAGGATCGACTTTAGAAAAGGAGGACATTATTTTTTTTGCTGTAATAAAGCATTTCAGAACTTCAGATGAATTAGTGTGCTTGAACACGATCACACGAGTAACCCACTAAAAGTTACAATAGATTATACATAGATTTCTCAACACCATCCTCAAAACAATACTGTGAAATGTGTCGAGAAAGTAGTTCACTCAATTAGACAGCCATGCTGAAGAGGGCAAAATTTTATTGTGAAGCAAATAATATCCACTTATAGCTTGACTCTGTTTAAATGGGCATGTGCATCTGCAGAATAGCTTATTCAATGATTCTATAGTGTTGAATTGCCAAACTAATCAAATCAACTAAACTCGTTTGCTTAAAAATCCACATAAGCTTAACAATTTACGAAAAATATTTCTTTTTGAACAATGAAAATGCATCAAGAAGATGCTTTTATCGGTAATTCATGTATGTTTTTCGCTTAGAAATAGAGTGATGCAAATGACTGATAATGTTGAAAAAAAATTTCAAGCGTGTTTTCACTTCTAAAAAGGCAACGTTTCTTGATTTAGCTGTTAAAATTTATATCAATATTTATGTGAAATTACAAATAATGAATTAAGGTTCATTAAATTTTGGAGCTGCTACTTGTCATACACTTAGGTTTCATGCATGTTATATTCTTCGTTCAAGAATTTGGATGTAGTCATGTCAGCAGTACTTGCGGACTTGATGAAGCACGAGTTTGGAATGAAATTGGTGAAAATGTTCATGTGAGTCAATGAAATTGGAATAGATAAACTTTTATCTCCCTTTCCTCATTTTAGTGCAATCGTTTTGATTGTTTCAGTCACTGAGTATTGCCTCATTATACAAATATACCTGTGTTCTCTCAGCAAAATTCAAAATATCTATTAGGGTGCACTATTGGCATGCTACCATAGAGGTCATTGAAATATCACCAGGAGTTTGGCATACAACAGTGAAATCAACTAGAATTAGGATTGCAAAAATCAGATTTTGTGTATTCATCGAATAGAATATTTCACAAACAGATACGCGCTTTTTCGGAGAACATCCAATTGCTAAAAATTTACAAAAGGACAGTAAACCTACTTTGTTCTCATTACTCATTTTTTTCAGTCAATAATATTGCTCCCGATTACAATCGCTCATAGAATGTCCATCTCTTACTTAGCAAACTTTCTTTCTTGAACGTTGCCTAGCCTTCACAATAATTAAAAATATATGTCACATCATCATTCATATATGGCAAAAGAATTGCTCTCAAAAGCTAGGATACTATAATATCAACCTGTCCTACAGTTATATAATTATGATGTATATAGAGTTCTTCATTAGATCTGTTCAAACAATACTATTCTGCAGAATGCTGTTGTTGATTGGAGGGCATTTTCAATCATCTCAGGATTGGAAAGTATGAAGAAAGACAACTTCATCATACAGTTCGCGAATTTTGACTAGATTAGATGATGCATTGGCTGAGTTTTGAAAAAGTAACAAAGAGGAGGAAAAGGAGGAGATTCTCATGAAAAGGAGGTGATGGAGGAGACTTTTTGTAAAAAAAAAGGAGGAAAAGGAGGAGCATTCACATGCCAGACAGATGATATACCATCAAATGTTTATCCACCTATAATGCTTTCACCAACACGTCATGGTTATCCAACATCATATTCCGATTTACATTTATTATCAGAATATGATTTTGCTATAGCAGCAGGAAATAGTAGTCAAAATGATTATGATACATATTATGGACATACAAATGTTGAACAAAAAGATGATAGAACTAATTTTCGTAATTAAAATGTTTTTTTGTTTATTTCAAAATAAAATTCTCATTAGACATGTACATACATTTAAAATCGTTGAAAAAATGATTATTTAATATCTTAAGTTCATGGTCAACAACTTGTTTTTTTTTCAGTGCAGAAAAATGCTTGATCAAACATGAACTCATTTGGATGATAAAAAAAAATATTAAGTATATTCATAAATATTGACTAGAGTAGTAAACAAGTAACGTTCATCAACATTGAATGTCGACTCATTTGGTCCTAGACTGACGGAATGATGACAAAGATGTCCTTATATTTTTAAATAAAAATGAATTCTGTATAATGATGAGTTTTGGAGAAATTATTAATCTTTGTAATATGTTCTATATTACATACTATAGATATATACAAATAGTTCAAATAAAATATTGAAAGATGCTAATGTATATGATAAAGTTTATGCTTTAGTTAATTATAACGGCTAAAAATTGTGATCTATGCCAAACTAATGGCCGTTTCTAATACGGGGATGGCCAAATGTGACACAGACATGCTCATTTGAGCCATAAGAATGGTCAACTGTGCCATAGAAATGGTTGATTGTGCCGTGAAAATGGTGAATTGAGCCATAGTAACGGTCATCTCTATAATGAAAAGGACCAATTGTGTGAAATAAATGGTCGCCTGTACCACCAAAGTGGTACTTTTGTACCATGAAAATGGTCACTTGTACCACAAAAATGGTCATTTGTACCAAGTGTTACAGACAGGCAGACAAACACAGGTGAATTTCCGTTTCTAGACCCTAGCCTTTCAGTCTAGGGAAAGTCATTACAAAGAACACGGTTAGAAAAAGTTTAACAACAACGTATTTCTTATTTTTTTAAAATAATGTTAAATATCGAGCTCAAATACAGATAGTGATTTTAATAGTCAATAAAGTTTTCTTTTACTAAGATTTCAGAAGCTATTTTTTAACAATACCATTTTAAAGAGAATAAAATGAAGAATCATCGTATTATCTACGACCCTTCCTTAAAAAATTTAAACTAGAGGAGACTTTCCTAAACTATCATGAAACAAACGTAGGATATCTTGGGTCAGGATTCGAGTATTTGCTAAAAGGATTCGCTCCAAACAACTTTCCAAAACAATGCAACAACTTTCAAAGTACAACTTGACGAGCTCTATCGAATCACATCATTCATTTTTCTCTAGGTCCTCCCCTCCTCAAACCGAAAAACTCCCCAAATACCATCAAAAGAACGTGTAAAATGCAATCAATTATCGAAAAACTTGTCGCGATCCGTTCAGGAATGCTTTCCAACTTAACCATTGAGTTTTCAGGTAGACCTTGACACGCTCTGTCGAATACACCTCTTTGGTGCTCCATTCAATACTCCTCTCCTCCTCAAAACCTTCAATCCGCAGCGGAAACTCGGTTTTTCAAAAAATACTTGTCGCGATTCGCTCAGACGAGCTTTCCAACCAAATGCTTCAACTTTCCAAGTAGATCTCGACGAGCTCTATCAAATGGACACCTTTGGAGGTCGATTCGATGCCTCTTTCCCCTCAAAATGGCCACTCCGGGGCCTGATTCCTATATATCTGCCGAAACGCCAGTGAGGAATCCCCAGAACTAGTTTCCAAGTATGCTAATCAACTTTCCAAGTAGATCTTGACGAGATCTATCGAATGCATACCTTTGGGGCTCCATTCGGTGCTTCTTTCTTCATCAAAACGGCCATTCCGGGGCTCGATTCCTAGATTTCTGCCGAAACGTCTGTGACGCTTCGTCTACAAGTACTTTCCAAGTAGATCTTGACAAACTCTATCGAATGGACAGAAACATTGAGTCGAGCTCCAAAGCTATGCATTCGATAGAGCTCGTCAACATCTACTTGGAAAGTTAGTTCATATACTTGGAAAATACTTCTGGGCGAATCCTCACAGGCGTTTTCGCATAAATCTAGGAATTGGGCCCAGGAATGACCATTTTTGGAGAGAAAAAGCATCGAATCGAGCTCCGAAGGTGTCCATTCGATAGAGCTCGTCAACATCTACTTGAAAAGTTGGTTGACATACTTGAAAAGTACTTCTAGACAAAGCGTCACAGGCATTTCGGCAGAAATCTAGGAATCGAGCCCGGGAATGGGCATTTTGGTGGAGAAAGATGCATCGAACGGATCTCCAAAGGTATGCATTCGATAGATCTCGTCAAGATCTACTTGGAAACTTGGTTAGAATACTTGGAAACTACTTCTGAAGATTCCTCACTGGTGTTTCTGCAGATATATAGGAATCAAGCCCTGGAACGGTCATCTTGGGAGGAAAGAAGCATCGAATCGAGCTTCAAAGGTGCCAATTAGATAGAGCTCGTCGAGATCTACTTGGAAAGTTGAAGCATTTGGTTGGAAAATTCGTCTGAGCGAATCGCGACAAGTATTTTTTGAAAAACCGGGTTTCCGCTGCGGATTGAAGGTTTTGAGGAGGAGAGGAGTATTGAATGGAGCACCAAAGAGGTATATTCGACAGAGCGTGTCAAGATCTACCTGAAAACTCAATGGTTAAGTTGGAAAGCATTCCTGAACGGATCGCGACAAGTTTTTCGATAATTGATTGCATTTTACACGTTCTTTTGATGGTATTTGGGGAGTTTTTCGGTTTGAGGAGGGGAGAACCTAGAGAAAAATGAATGATGTGGTTCGATAGAGCTCGTCAATTTGTAGTTGGAAAGTTGTTTGGAGCGAATCCTCTCAGGAAATACTCGAATCCTGACCGAAGATATCCTACGTTTAGGATCCGGTCTATCTTCATAGAGCAACAGTCTACTCTTTCAAGATGATCATATATCGCTACTTATTTATATGAATCGATGCGCTAGATAAGCCTCTTTCCAACAATGAAAATTGCAGCTCTCTGTCTTGTTCGTTTCAGAAGTTATTCAAAAAATATACGCCCATCTTTTTTTTTGAAATAAACAGTAGCTCTTTAGCATCATTAAATGCAGCCAATATGACATGTTTTACATTGATTTTATCGATATCATTGAAGTTAGACAAAGTAACGATCTGAAGGGTCATGTTTTAATTTTAGTAGCATCACGCTGACATGGTTCAACATAATATATACCGTAAAAAAGAATTTGAAATGGAAGGGAAATTCTTTTGTCATCTTTATGTAATAGATAGTGTGTTTTGCATAGTACAAAAATTCAATGCCATTTCTAACACTTATCGAACGCTTGTGTAGTCTCGAAGTCTCATAAAGTCTCATAAAATCTTGTGAACTCTTGTGGAAGCTGATGAAGTCTAATGAACTCTTATGAAGTCTCATGAAATATTGTGAAGCCTTGTGAAGTCAGATGGGGTGTGATGAAGTCTACTGAAGCCTCATGAAGTCTTATGAAGTCTCGTGAAACCTTGTGAAGTTTGATGAAGTCTTGCGTAGCCTTGTGAAGTCTCATGAAGTTCTGTGAAGTGTCGAAAGTACCTTGAAGCCACATCAAGTCGCACGAAGTCTCGTGAGCTCTTTTGAGGTCTTTTGAATTCTTCTTAAGTCTTCAAAGTCTTTTGAAGATTTGAAGTGTCTATTGCTGAAGTCTCTCGAAGTCTTGAAACGTTGAAGTCTGCTGTTTCTCCATCGGTTTTCCGTTACCGATCAGCAGCTTCCGGGGCTTTTTTTCTGGATTTATTGGGGATTTTTTATATATTCCGGAATTTATTTCATTCTTGAGACTTATTCGGATCATCAGGATAAAACCTGGAATCTATTTCTCTATTGAAACATATTAACCATAAGTGCTAGGTAACAAAAAAAAGAGTGACCGAACAAGGATTCGAACTTTAGATGTATAAATGTGAAAGCCATCACTCTGACTATTGAGTCATTCGGTGTTGTTAGTTACTAGTAAAAATTATAGAACGATGATTCACGTTATCAATCGACCCGGCTATATAAAGAATATATGCGCTAAAAAAAAGTACTGATTCGCTAGGGGACCAATTCATACGAGGGCTTGAATGCAATTGGACGCTGGTGTAGAAATATGTATCTCAAATATATTCGCTAGGAAAAATATGATCCACTGAGAAATTATTGAATTTAATGGAGTTCTTATTACAACCTTTGCAATAAAACAGTGCTTTTGGAATAAATTCGCTAGAAAAAAAATTAATCCAACCAAAACTTTATTTATGTTGAAACTTATTTGGATAAATTCTATATAAGATATCATAGTATCCCAATATGAGATGTAGGAAAAAATATCCTGGATTTATAAAAAGCTCCAATAAACGCAAAAAACTAAGTTCCGGTGGCTCCTCTTATCGACTGCAACACTGAAATTTCGAACGACTATTACTCGCTAAATGACAATAATTATCGCAACATTGTATTGGTCCAATATAAGGACATTTCGTTCATTTTGGTTTCTTTTCCAATTGGTTCGTCAATGATTGGTCAGCTAATGAAGACTGATTTACAAGGGCATTATTAGCATAGTATTTATACTCGTTTCAGGATAATAGCTGACATCAAATCATCTTACTTTACATCAAATATTCTGCTGCAAATGAGCGCTACCGATAACAATCAACAGAAATGTATGGGCTGTTTATAATATCCCGTGTGTAGTCGAGAGACAAGCAGTCGGCAAGCCAAAAGACATAGGCCCTGTGGTGCGGAATTCACAAAGGAAAAAAAAGCAAATCGAGTGAGTGAACCTCGAATTTATTTATATTGATGACTGTCTCCATCTTTCTAGCCTCCATGCGAAGGATGCCGCGAGTATTCTGTGTGTCCAAATCTTCCAAAACTAGGCAGAAAACGTTGTTGGCGATGTCAAGCAGCCAATACAAAAGACGAGGTAGCAAGTGGAAAGAGACATTTATTTACAACAAAGGCTAGACGAGTAATTTTCTGTTCTCTTCTTCTTCTCTCTTGTAAAAGTCTCTTTTTGATGTATTCTTTAGGATGTTACAAAAGGCGAAGAGTTCTGCTTCACGCTCGGCTGTATGAATCTTCGTC